GCCAGGGAGCAGGGGCGGGCGGCGCGGCGCGAGCGGCCAGGAGCCGCAGCCCAGCCCGCCTGGTCGACAGCATCGAGGAGGAAGGCGCAGCAGCCGTCGCGCAGCGGGAGGACCTCGTAGTAGTCGGCCGCGTGGTAGAGCGTCAGCGCCATGTCCACGTCGAGCGCCACCTGCAGCCCGTGCACGTACCGCAGCAGCAGGTCGAAGCACCACGGCTCGGTGCCGCGCAGCACGAGCCGCGGGCGGCTGGAGCCGGCCGAAGGGGTCACCATCCGGCTGGACTCGCCGTAGAGCATGGCCGCCAGCGGCCGCGACGCCGAGGCCAGCACCGCGCCGATGCACGCAAACTCCTGGCTCGACTTTGACCCCTCGACCACAACACACACATCGCTGAACGAGGGCATGTTCTGGTGCAGCTCGAGGAGCGAGCCGCGGATGTCGAGCGGGTCGCGCTGCAGCTCCCGCGTCGGCTCGTCCTCCGCGTCGGAGAGCACGCGCCGCCGCTTGGGCGGACGCTCGTCGTCGGCGCGAGACATGGCGGTCGGCTCTTCCCTTATCCCTTCGAGGTTGGTTGGGAGACGGATAAAAATAGTTAAGCCCGCGCAAGCCTCCCCCGGTATTTTATTGGTCGACGTCAAACGCTAGATACGGCTTTTTACGAGTAGAGCCGCATTAGAAAACCCCAGATCAGGTCGGACACCGTCCCACCGTCGCCTCGCTACACCAGACGCCTAGACAAGGGCGTTATCACCATCACGGACTCACGCACCCTGAACATGCACACCTCTTACACTGTCAGGACATACAGGCACGTCTACTCACGCGAAGACGAAGAACTTGCACACCGTCAGCCCCGCCGCAGACGGCCGGTTGAGGTAGATGTAGCGCCCCAACGCGTTGATCTCCACCTCCAACATCACGTTCGACAACACGCTCACGTCTGACTTCACCAGCGCGTTGCCCGTGTACGTCTCCGCCGTCGAGCCGAGATAGATGTCGACGTCCGTCAGCCGCTCCGGGCAGCAGTCGTTGCGGTTCTGCAGCCGCACGTAGCCCACATACACCTCGCTCCCGAGGTCGACGCCCCACCATTGGCTTGTGTATTGGCCGCACTCGGCCCACGGCCGTCCCGTCGTGCTGTCGGCGAATGACAGGTCGTTCACGGGCGCCTGCTGGTCGAAAACGTTCTGTCCTGGTACGTGGTGGCGGCGCGGAGGTCGAGCAGCTCAGGCGGCGGCGGAGACGGCGAGGCGGACGGCGCCCGGGGAGGGCGGCCGCGAGGAGGACCAGCCGCACG